TAACTCCACTGCCACAATCACTAGGCCCCTCAACAGCTACTGCTATTTCGTTGCTACCAACCACAGTGTGAGTCGTATCAATTGTTTTCACGGGGGATAAAAACCTAACATCCATGTCAAGTGCACAACTACCTGCATCATATATGTCTTCTGTACCCTCCTCCATATGGACGTTACTCCGAAACTTATCTCCACTGCCACAATCACCAACTACAACCTCACTGCCCCTTATAACGCTTTCTGCTGTTTCCATTTGCATAATATCAATCTTCTCCAACAACAACAATTCACCCTTCATAAAGAACACCAACATAATTACTACGATACAAATTCATACAGAACGCCAACATAATTATAATATAAAATTCAACACAAATCAACCAAACACGTTTCACATCACACATTCAACCCAACGCAGAAAATCAACCAACCAACCAATTGAACAACCAACACAACCAATTTCCACATAAACTAACAAATCAACACATGGATTTTTTTAAAAACATACGAAGACAACACGTTGTTCTCAAAAAGTAAAAAGTTGCAATGTAAACAAAATCATCCGGCCATTTCCGGTAACCTCAACCCCCTTTTTAACAGACGAAAAGGTCCTTAAAATCCTATTGCTTTCAAAATTATTCCGACTTCGGTCCAAATTATGAATTCATTTTCATGAATTGTGGGCGCATGACAACTACAGAACAAAACTGAAGACTGCAACAAGCGACGATAACATAGATCAGAAAAATACCTCGTAATTCGAAGATGTGGGTGGTTTTTTCAACTGGGCTTGTACAATTCGTCGATGTGTGAATAACAGAGCTAATTCTCCGAACAAGCTCCGTGTTTTTTCAACTGGACTTGTACAATTCGGCGATGTGTGAAGAACAGCGCTAATTCTCCGAACAAGCTTCTGGGTATGTGAATATTTTCCCGCCAAAACGTGAAGAAGTTAACGCCATCCCTCCAAGTCTCCAACAGATTGACAGAAGGATGTCATAGACAAATCCAATAGACAAATCTAAATCAGCAACTGGTCACGTAGACGAATCCAGCTCAGCATGTCAGTAAGTGAAAAACTTCCACTTATTTTCTGAATTGCCACTGTGAGTAACAAGTTTGTTACTCACAGTGAGTAACAGGGAATTAGCCTAAATTAACACAAAAGGTGATGTATGCTAATGGAGCAAAGTCAACAGCAAGAATCTTGGAAGAGATGGTAATTCGTTCATGCTATTATGTATGATTATAGTTTAATCTCTAACATGACTAACTATATTTCAATTATTTCATGTGTAGATGAGTCTTCCACCACCTGAACATGAACCTTCTCAACAAGAGGGTGAAGGGGCTACGGAACATGAAACTGGGCAAACTGAACAACCCATCTATGTGAAGCTATATGAAAAGACCCATACGTATTGTCACCTGCTACTCTTTAACAACATCAAATAATAGTGATACTTTAAAATACTGTGATGTTTTCTTCTATTTACTTACATTGTGCTTATATAGGCATGTCAAAACTGGCTTAATGGAACCTAAGGCAGAGGCTAATTTGAAAGCTTTGAAAGAGTTGCATGAGAAAGAAATTCAAGAGCATGGTGTGGATAACCTCACTCCTATGGAAGCTTATCCTAAGGTCATCAAAGAGTGTTCTGGGTATATTAGAGGCCTTGGAGCTGGACCAACGCCACCAAAAAAACCAAGAAATGGGGCTGAGTCAAGCGAGGTTAGAGAGGAAATCCAACAAATCCAACAAGCTGCCTCAGAGCGAGAGTATGCACTCCGCGAAGAAATCGAACGTATCAAACAAGAAAGTATAGAACGAGAGAACAAGCTAAAGCAAGATAGTATTGAAAGAGAGACCAAGCTGAGACAAAAGTTGAGGGAAGAAATGATGTCAATGATGGAGGCAGCGCGTTCTTTAACTTAAATTATACATTATCCAAGTAAGTTGCATATTTTAATTATTTTGCGATTCTTATTTTTTTAGCCTTCGTATTAAATAAATCTTTTTTTTTTCAATTGCTCGTAATATAAAATTATTTGACGATAATAGGTATTTTTGATGACTCTGGAAAGTACATATGTGTAAACAAACCTATTCTAATTGGTTTTCTCTAATATTGAAGCATAGTTGTATTCCTTCCTTAATTTCAAGATTATAAAGCTTCTGTTACGTTAATTTGATAATAAATTTATCTATTAAAATTTTGACTAATATATAAATAATTAAGGTTTTCAAATTTTGACTATTATATATATAACCTGAGCATTGAGTACATCTCTTTTTGGTAGTTAATGAATTATTGAAATTTTGACTAATATTATAACTAACACTTTTTTTTTCATTATTTCTTATTTAACTAGTGTTCTTCTTTACTTGAAGGTGATTAGTAGCAGAATCTTGTGCGTTCAAGGAGATTGAAAACAATCCATGCTTAGGTCAACCAGAATTTTAAGGCATCGATGAGTCTTTTGTACAGTATTAGTAGTGGTTAATGAAGGTGATGATGCCATTTTTTGTATAGTAACCAAGGTTGGTGTTATTTTTTTTGATATACTTGACCAGATACGCCAAGGTTGTGCTATTTTTAGAAAATACTTGATCCTAATATATTGTGTGTATCAATGGCATCTTTTGGAAACAAACTGCTTATGTTTAACATACTCTTTATTTTAGAATTATATACTTTGTTGTTTGTCAATTATAATTGAATACCTACTATTATATTGTAGATCATATGTTAAATTACATTCGCCAATAACCATTTCAGAAAAAATGTCACTAAACTAGTGACATTGGCCACAATAAAAAAAAATAAAAAAAATAAATAAATAAATAAATGGAGAGTCAATGTTGTCCACAAAAAAATACACATGGGCGACACTATGTTATAAATATGACGCCGAAAAAGGCAACACAATTTTATAAGTGTAGCACATAATATTACAATGAGCTTTGAAAACCCACTAACGGCACCCTAAGAAAGGGCCAAAAAAAAAAAAAAAAAAAAAAAAAAAAAAAAAAACTGTAGCGCATAAGTGTCTTTTTAGGGCGACACTTTTATTAGAAGTGATGCCTTAAGAATGGGCAATAATATAAATTTGTGAAGTCCAAACCTTATATTTTGGGCTATAGAATTTTAAAAACGACGCCCAAGGTATGGGCAACAATTTAAATTTGTAAAGTCCAAATTTGATAATTTGGGCTACAGAAATTTTAAAAATGATGCCCAAAGTATGGGCAACGGTAATAAGGCAACACTTCTTGTGTCACTTTTATTTCCGACGCCCCAACTTTGGGCGACACAAAACTTACCTTGGGCGACAAACATTTGCGATGCCCAAATTACTTTTTCTTGTAGTGAGTGGAAAATTGACGCTGGTATATCGAAGCTTAAAACCCAAAAACAAGTGAGGGCTTTTACTCGTAACCTTGAAAAACCATCAAAATCTCAAATTTTAAGGCAAAAATCGACATTGTAAGAGAGAAACTAGGGTTCTTGAGGTTGAAGATAAACTTGAAGAGAGAGAATGAGAGAAATCACCACAAGAGTGTAGATGAGAGTGAATTGAGTGGGCGAGATTTTGTATCATAATTATTGTCAAAAGTAAATGATAAAGGTACAATACATGTGGCGTGTAGGTGGGAAATTAAAGGTATCATTTGGAAGGAATCTAAGGATATAAAGGGGGTTATTTTTTAGAAATAGGCACTTAATTTTGGGATACTAGAAAATGAGAAAATACAAGTTTATCACCTTGATAAACAAATCATGTTTATCACCTTGATAAACAATTGATGTTTATCAAGGGGTATTTCTGTAATTGACAACTAACTAGTGTTAATTATCATTAGTTGCTTTCCCCCTCTCCCTTGATTTTCTCTCTCCTCCTTCAACATTCGATTTCAATGGCAAAAAATGTGCATTTCACTACAACATTAAGCTAGACGAAATCAATGGAGGAACGAAAGCTTACTACCCTTTAGGGTAAACCATACCCTTTATTTCTCCCTTTCGTATTTGGGTTTTCGTTTGATTCCGACGGCGAAGTGGTGGTACTAAGCTGAAATCAATGGAGTAATAGAAACTCACCTACCCTTTAGGGTTAACCATGCCCTTTATTTTTCTCTTTGTTATTTGGGTTTTTGGTTAAATTTCAACGACGGAGCTGTCGGAAATGGTGGTGCTCGCGGAGTTGAACAACTTGAAATGAAGATGAAAGTAGGTGTGGATTGGAGGAAGAAGATAAAGGTGGGTGGGAGGAAGAAGAAGATGAATAGGAAGAAGGTGATGAACAATAGTTAACTCCGTTTAAGAGCGAAAATTCTATCAACATTATTACAATGGCCCACAATAGTAAGTATATATATAACTTTTTCAATTAAAAAAAAAAACACAAAGTTCAATGCAACTTATTTACAAAAATGTCATTTGGTAAACAAAATTTATTTATCTATTAAGATGATAAACTAGGTATTGCTCCTAAAAAAGGAAAACAAACACTTAAAAATGGGACGGATAGAGTAGAATTTTGGGAGGAAACCAACTTCCCTACCAAAATCCTGAAAAGTTGTTACTTTCTTTTAAAAAGGACGGTCCCCGCACTCTCTCTTCTAAAAGTTAATCACGTGCCTAACACAGTATTACTTCATTAATTTAGCTTAAGAATTTTGGCTTGATTTCTATGTAACCCATGAAAGTTACAACTAAAAAGAAATGGTGGTAATAAATGTGTTAAATCATTGTCCTTGATTATTTATTTGTTAACATCATAAAATTTTAATATTCCTAAAATACCCATTAAGACGAATCAAACAAAACTCCATTTATTTGTTTTTCTTATACATTGATAAAGATTCGCTTAACTTGTAAATAGTGTCTAGATTTCAAATGGAAATGACTTTCACGAATGATGAGAGAAGATAACAGTTTTCTGCCCAACTTCATCAACCAAAGGACATTCAGCTTAGGAGAGTGAAAAAAAATTGGTATATCAACAGATTCAGCCGTGTTGTTCACACATTATCTCAAAAAATTCAGTAGATCACTATCAGCTGCTTTTCATGTGTTTCACATTCAAGATAATTCAATATGCTTTCTATCAAAAGAAAAAAAAAATATTATAATTCAATATGCTGTCAAAAGAATTACAAGTTACCTGTGTTATGATTTCTTATGTACTTCCCTTCTAAACTCCATGCTTAATTTGATACCCACTCCAGCATTACTTCGCTTCCGTTACGCATAAATGCATAATAATGTTCTATTCCTGGTTTTCACATGAAGTAAAGAACTTTTCAACCCCATCTACATCACAGACATATCGCAGATGTAACTGAGTCATGAACTCTTGATCAGCAGAGGACTGGCTTTTGATGGTCAACCCAAACTGTATAAATTTACAAACCACCTAAACAATCACTCGACAACACCAGCAAGTTTCTGACATACCCCAAAACAAAGTAAACCTCCAGCTGAAGAAGTATCGAGCAGCCAAAGCAGGGATGATAAGAGATGCATCACTCGACCGCATATGCAACAACATTCCAGTTAGTATGAAGTAGGGAAGACTTCTTTACAAAATAATGTGTGTAGTTTCCAGATAAGTTAAGATGAAGATTCCAAGAGTCTGAAGTCTGAACATTAATTCCTGAACCATGCCCAGGAAGGCTTTCACCTACGAAGCCTCAGCTTCTACTGTGGAATTCTTGGAGCGAAGTAATTGCTGCTTGAGAAATACTGCATACAGAAGTTCATTCCATGTATCAGGAACACCGGGCAAGCACCAATGACTACAATCTTGCCGATGAATGGGAGCTGGTTTTGGCCCCAGATAGTAAAGTGATGAATGGCCATCTCTTCTCTGTAACGTCATATAAGTCACATTCAACAAGTTTACTTTAGTCGCATGAGATCTGTTTACATAATCTGACAGTGCATCATTCAAAATATTATAATGGCCCCAATATTGAGGCTTGTAAGGAGTCGTCAAGTCGGGCATTGTTTCCAAATGACAAGTACCACCAGTTTTCCAGTCGCCACCACTGTGTAAGAGATTCGTCTCATTAGTTTTGACAAGAAATTCCTCATAAGAGTCTGAAGTTTATTGTTCACAAAAGTTGTAAAAAGCTTTGAAATACAATAAACTTCAAAAGATTCTTTAAGAGCTTAATTTTGACAAGAAATTTACTACGAAGTATGACCAAACTCGATTTACCAAACATAATAACATAGCAAGAGAACTTTCAAATGCAATGCTTAACATAGAGTTAATACCAGGATAATGACAAGTTAGGGCCCAACAAATACACAGGCAACATGAAGCAGAAGAAATAATTAAATCTAAAATTCAAGTGCTAGGTTCACCAGGACCAAATATACAGCAATGTACACCATAGGAGCTGGTTTTAATATCAAAAATTAAGTTCTAGGTTTGGAGAAAGGAACTAAAACGCTATAATGCCAAACTAAAAGGTACTAATGGATCTCATGGTATGACATAAGAATAAAGGGAACTACTTTTTTTGTTTTTCTATTTTTTTTTACACAAAGGAAACCATATTCAAATGCAATACATGAGCAAATTATATAAGCGCTAGTACAGGTACTTAATGAAAGTTGTAGGTAATGATTCACCTAAGATAGGGAAACTTTTCCTCGTGAAAAAAGGTGTCGCTGCTATCACTAGCTAAGATATAAATGATAAAAATAAAATAAAAAGTAATTTACACTACTATAAGAAATAGCCAATTTAACAGACACGCAAACATACATAATAAAAACATGAACTTTGGACATATTGTGTTGCAGACATGTTGATTTTTAATTAGACTGACTGCAAAATATGAAACAAATAAGAAAAAACAATGAGAAATCTAGACAACTTTTCAGTTTCTAGCAAGTATCTCAAAGGACATGGCCCTTGACAATGACATTCTTCAATCTAAGCACATAAAAAGTCATCTTATATTGTTTGTAAACTAGGCTTCAATGCAGTGTGTGTTACCCACTTATGCATGTGTATTCTGTCACTAAACTACGTTATTAAAAAATTGAGTTTGTTTGAGTTTCTAATCGACTAATACTTCCTGTGTCTCCAAATAAAATTCTCATTTCACTTTTATTTAATTCTTTATTCACTTTCAATCAATCAAACATCAGTACTTCTTTTTTATCATTATTATCTGTAATCAACCAAACCCAACTGTCTTATCTTTATATTCACCTTTAATTAACCAAACTTCACTATTTTTTTTATTCAGCTTCCTAAAACATGCGCAAAAGACAAATGCAATTTTATATGGGGATGGAGGAAGTAGTCACCATCTACGTTGCTTGGACATGGGTATATGTCTAACTGTTCGACTTGGCTATTTTGTACAAAATTTACGTAATTTTGATCTAAAATAAAGCTTCTTAGTGTCCAACCCATGTCCGATTAACATAGTCACTACTATCCTCTCCTCCGCCTCCCTCTTTCCTTTTAACCGAAGAATGAATGATAATTGAATTTTATTCTTTGTCTTATGGCTTAACCAATATCCTATAACTATTTAGGGCAAGGAAGCAAACGTTTGAACCACCCAAACCCGTCTCAAATTGTTCAAGGATTACTACAATGCACAAAGTGAAAAATGAAAATATTTAATTTGGTCACCTCTACACACTACTTTGCAATGCAATATGATTGGAACTTGGAAGGATCCAATTCTTTCATCTCTTCCTTGACTCATTTCAACCAAGTCTTAGTCTACCCTGACTTCAACAACAAAAACTGGTAATCAACATGCAAATCATGCAAAATTAATAAAATCTGACCCATTGTGAAACTCCAACAAATTTTTTTTAAAAAAAAAAAAGTATGAATTCCATTTGGCTACACATATGATAACATTATTGTGTAGCCACTATACTTAACATGGGTTGATATAAAATTCTAATCTCTGTTTAGAGGACAACTTGCATTAATAAACTTTTTTCTTAAAAACAAATAAAACTAATTTACCACCATTCTTCTAATAGTTAGCAATTAATATGAATAACACCTTTCTATTTTTAGTCAACCAACTAATCCTCTTTTTAGAAAATTGTTTAAAGCAAAGATGAAGTACTCTAAAACACAGTAACTACTAACTACCATCTCTACCCCTTTGCTTTTTCCCCTGCTCCCTCATTTTCTTTTTCTTCACAGATATACTTTCTGACACAATGCAGAGAAACTTGCAGTTTCTCTCCCTACTTGCCACCCCAATATATATATAATTCTCTGTAGATATACTACACAAGTCTGGGATTCAACATCTAAAATTTGAAGGAGCTTGTCACACATAAGATCATGATGCCAGAAATTGCAGAGGGATAGGTTGGTCTGCAAAAGTTAGCATTCAATTTCTGGTATGCATCTTTATAAAAATGACATACCAGCTACATTATGTTGACCATGAAAACCTTGAGCTTCTATGGAGTATTATATTGTTAGCCATTATCAGAACTAATCTGTACTCGTTGACCCATATCTGAACTGAACTTTTAATTTTGCTTTTTTGTAAACAAAATTGACAAAAGAGCAAAACCTATATTGCAAGAAGAATTCTGAATAGTTTCAGTCCCTAAAAGCAATGCATTTCTTCCCCAACACCCCCCCCCCCCCGCCCCCCCAAAAAAAAAATAGATAACAAACACACAAACATAACCCCAGCAGCAGGGCCTTTAGCTAAAAATATTGAGCAATATATATGAAACAATGCATCAATAATATAGAACCATTACTATGATTAGAGCCACAACCTTAATTTAATGTAACAGTTATGCTAGCCAATATTGGTATCTAGAATAGGAAATTCGAGGTCTCATCAATGTTAATAGTTCACACATCAATCCGACCAATTTCTGACTGCCAATTCTCTCTAGCAAATAGAATTGAGGAATTGGATAAAAGAGAAGTTATGTTCAACACAAGCTTTTTTGGTAATAAAAATGAATAAAATGAAAACAAACAAACTAGTAGGTCCACTACGTATGTTTTGGTGAACTACAGTAGTAAGCCAAGTAACAATAGTGTATTCAACAGTAGAATATCATCAGATAGACTAATAAACTAGCTCTAGAATCTTAGGACAATTCAAACTATTCATTCATGATAATATCTTTATCTAATTATACAGCCTGTCATTCTTGGCATATTATATATGTCCTAAGCATACTTATTGCATTTATAGGCTAGCTCAAGCTAGAAACCAACTTACAAAGCTTTCCCAAATGTACAAAAAGATCAGAGATATAATGGTTAGATGCCAACCATATAGTTTAACAACATTCACATACTCTACTATGAAATTAATGAGTTTGTATAATATGAATTAGAGATGAAAACAGAAGTTCCTAATATATTAAAAGATGCTGCTCAATGATAAGAATTAAAATAAGAAACACAACATACCCTGATGCTTCTAAAGAGATTGTAGGCTAGGGCAAGGTTAGGGGCCAGGGGTACTGTAATGTTTGAACTTATTTGGCCCCTAAAGACAAGTAAATTCACACACATTATTGTTTCTCCACATTTTCACTTACTAGCTCACATCGTCTACAATGAAAAGAAATTTTCTTAAAAAGTACCCCAAGAGAACATGTAGTTTGATAAATCTATCAATCCCTCCCAAATTTAAACAAATATATTAATTACTCCTAAACACTAAATACATTATTCGACATCAATCCCTCCAAAACATCACAGAAATTATTGAAAATGAAGTGAAAAGGAACAAGATATAAGTGAAATCAAACCTGAAGTGCACGGGAGCATAGGATCGAAAGAAGACACTTGTCTTGTTAATGTCTACTTGACTATCTATCCATCCAAAAAGAGTGTCTATTGAACGTCTAAAAGCAGTTTCGACAGTCATATTCATCTTTACAGTATTTTCTTCTTCGAAGTAACAACCGCTGAAGAGTAGTGAATCAGATATTAGCAGGTTATATAAAGCAAACAATACACATAGAAAGAATATAAATATGTTAACAGTCACAAACAAGGATAACAAAAGAATCTAATTCTAAGAACTAGAATCACTCCAAAAGTAAAACAAGGTCTGGGTAAAAGATGTGGCAATTGTAACAGTGTGTTTGGATAAGGAAAGAGGAAGGAAAAGAAGGGGAGGGAGGAGAAGAGGGGAGGGAAAGAGAGGGGAGGGAAGAATGGTGAGTTTTCCTTCCAAATCTCTCCATTGTTAGAGGGATCATTTTCTTACAATTTAATCCCTCCTTTTCTCTCCCCTCCAATTCCCTTCCTTCCTCATTTGTTATCCAAATGAAAGATATCACATCTCTCCATTTCCCTTCCCTTCCTTTCCCTCCATTTCCTTCACACCGTAAGGGGTCAAGAGACTCAGGACAGGGAAAAAAGAAGAAATATAAGGACATGAATTTAAAAAAAAAATACAAATATACAATTAGTTGCTTTGCATAGATCAAAACAATTGAATAACAACATCAATATATTATAATTTATAAGCCTACGAAATAATAAAATTGAAACTCAAATTTCACATGGTACAAATTTACAAATTAATCACAAATCTATCAGACATGCTATTTACACAGGTAGTTTTTTGGCAAGGAAGGAACTAAAGCCTACTACATCTTCACATAGTCATTCCTCAGACCTATAAAAGTCATGGTCTCATGGATGCTAAAACCGGTCAACATCCAGGGTACACAATCAAGAGATTAAACAACTGCCTAGTAAACAAATGTACAAGATATAAAACAGTGTCAGGCAATTAAACTAAAGTAATTGCCTAAAAAATTTCATGGATGAGACAGCCTGACTATCCAACAATAACTGGGATTTGAATGGTGTGATTACTCATAAGGGTCGAGTCATGAGAATGAGCTTTCCCATTTATCTTTTGTTCTTTTTCTGAAGCAGCCAGTTGATTAGTAACAGATTACAAATAGCAATTCATTATAAAAACCCATTAAGTTATCCCAAGTCAGTCTGAAAATTTTAATTGTTCCCTATGAGCTATTTGAAAGAGAGATCACTAGCATTGACTCAGTCAAACAAGGAAACAGACATATTTACCTTCTAATTGTTTTATCATAAGTCCACCAATGTCCAGCGTTTAAAATCAACACATCAGCATCTTTCCATTTGCCAGAGCTCCAGTCCAGCTTATCCACTTTCAGAGTGTACCTCACATTAGGTGGGGAACCAGCAGGAGGCCTGCCTTGCACCACTAAGAATGGAGCTCTATAGTATTCAATAGTGCAATTATAATCCCGAAACATAAACACCAAAGCTCCCATGTGCTTTGTTATTGGGTTTCCATGTACTTCATAGATTGAAGACTTATTAGATACTACAGAAGAGAGCATACACATGAGGGATTCCCATTGATTTCTTCCGATTGAGTCACCAACAAATGCAAGCCTCTTGTTCCTAAGGTTTTCTAACATCAATTTCGCATCAAATCTGTAATGCGCAAACCAACGAAAGGCATGACATGTTAGAAAAAAACCATAAATTCAATAGCATTCATAATATAACAGCAGACAGATAGCTAGAAGCTTCAGTCCTTATAATATACTTCTTGATCATTTATGTTACCAATATAAACAAATACGAAGTACCCAATAACACCTACAAATACGGAAGAAAAGCACCCTAATTACTCTCCATTATTATATTAATCTCAAAGGGAAGCCACGCAACCGACAGATTTGAAGCATATTCTATTATTCTGTACGTCCTGCAAAGAGTTGACCTTCTGTACTAAGTAGTATATTCAAGTCTTCAACATCAAATTATAATCATGCCACCATAACAACCATCAAAGCCATAAACTCCATTATACAATATGATCACTAAGAACAAATTCATATATATATAAAAATAAAAAAATGGAAGTTATGGAAAAATGAACTATAATAACATAACCATTGCCATTTTTAGCAAACAAGGAATTTTACCAATAAGTAATAATATTGCCAGCTATGAAGAACAATGCACAGTAATATGATAGACACAGAACACTCATGTATGGCTATGTACCAACAAAGAGAGCTACAAAACCAGTAATTCAGACGTGATTCGATCCCAGGTCTCGAGCACCACCCCGAGACTTTACCAACTAAACTAACTGATATGGAATTGCATAGTATAAGGAAAATATGTAAAATCAAAAAAAATTTATATACCTGGGGATATTGCATTTGTTGGGTTGCCATCTCCATTTAGTATAGAAATTATCAGGTCTGCCATTTTCAGAACACTTAAAACCTCCATCAACAAACAAACAATCTTTGGAATTATAAAGTGGATAACTCTCATCCCAAACCCATTTTCCATCAAAATAATCACAATCTTTTTCACTACTTTTCTCAACAAATCCAAATTCCCCATTACTACTGAGATTATACCCATACCACCACGTGACTGCAGCACGTGATCTAAGCCCATTTCCACCATTTCCAATACTATTATCAAAGTAAAACATAGAACAAAATAAACACAAAGTTAACACCAAAAACCCCAGAATTGTTAATGAAAGTTCTAGTGGGTTTAACCTATTAAATTTCTTGAAGAAATCAAGCTGATTCATGGCTCGCTCTTAATTTTTGTGCAAAATTTTGAGTATAAAAAACAAAAACTTGCAAATTTGTAAAGGGTATAATATTGGGTGTTATACTAAAATATCATAGAAAAATTCAAATTTTTGAATCCATGACTAGTTTTCAGAATTTCAGTTTTAAAAAATAAAATTTTTAAATGGGTTTAAATAAAATTACTAAAAATGGGTTGTTTACAAAGTTAAAATTGAAGCTTTTTGTGAGTGATCAAATGCTCCAACGAAGCAAAATTAAAGCAGACAAAATGGGTGTTAAAAGAAGTAATGATAAAATGGACAAGAGTCCAAAAGTTTTGAGGAGAGAGAAAAGGGGAGGCAATGCATTCAAAGCATTAACGAAGTGATGAATATAATGTGATGAAAGAAGGATTAATTATTTAATTAATTGATTTAATTAAAACACGATTAATTAGAAATAGAAGTCGTGGCCTTGACGGTGATAGAAGCTTGGGAAGTGGGACAGCTTGGAAGTAGGGAAGAGATTAAGGAAATAATATTATTATTACGGCTGATTATGACATGATTAATAAAATGAAATGAAGTTTCCTACAATAATCATATTCATAATAATCTTTTTTGATATAAAATATTTGACCAAGGACAAATGAATCGTGTTTGATAAATTGGGATATTTTTTCAGACTTCTAGATTTTCTATAATAAATTTTGTACAATCTTTTTAAGTTTTGGGAAATAAATTTTATTTGATTGTTTTTCTTGTCTCCACAAATTCTTGATTAATGCGAACTTTCATTAAATTATTGTAAAATGGGTTATGGTTATCCTAAAAGTATTTAAAACTATCTTATATACACAAAAGTTTTGTATGGGAACTCCTGCTGAGCTAATCCCCACTCCCAGCTCCACCTACTGGGAGGTGCGCGCTGACCAACAACAAAATGCAAAACGGCTCAACAACTCATTAAGGTCGACACCACAAGCTGACTAGTACGGCTCGCCTATAAATAGTACACCAAGTACAACGAAAAGGGGATTAGACACTTTGAGTTTATGACTTACACTCTCTTTCTCTTAGCTTTAAACACTAGCTAACTTAAGCTTTAGCGGGGGGTTCCTCGAGCCATCGCTGTGGGTCGTAACGTGTGTTGCCTATGTAGGTATTTCAGATGGACCTAGCCAATCCCCCAACCCGAACCACTAGTACGACACCTGGAACAATTGACGCTAAAAGGAGGGGCCTTAGACCGTATGTACTAAGTTTGCCATCTAAGCAAGGACTAAATGATCTGCCACCAAGACTAAGGGTGTACACAAACTGACCATACTTGAAAACCGCCCAGAACCAGACCTTTTTGGATCGGACCGGACCCAGATCGGTAGATTCACGTTCGGTCCCGATCTTGGTCATTAGTGGAGGACCCGTACACGAGGCCATTGTAAACATAGCTTGAGCTGACTTGCGTGTAATGATCCATTAGGTGAATCACAATGATAAGCACAAGTGGCCAACTCTGCCACCTGAGTGATATTTGATGAATTTGAACGGAAGGGAATAGTATATCTGCATGATGACTCGCTTGTGGTGACAGTACAAATTGCGAACTAGAAAGTATGCAGGGTGCTAGTGGATGGAGGAAGCTCAGCCTACATAATCTTTATAGAAGCATTCAAGCACCTTAATTAGGACAAAAGAGACCTCAGACGGTGAGCTATGAACTCATCGAGTTTAATGGCTCAGGATTGATTTCGGAGGGAGTCATTGAGTTATCAGTTAGAGTGGGAGAGGGGTCGAGACGATGAGACGCCATAGTTGAGTTCTTGGTAGTGAACTCTCCCTCAACTTACAATGTCATAATGGGTAGCTGACACATATGATCAGTGGGTTAGTATCCACATATCACCTTGCAATGACCTACACAGCAAATGACGACAGATCTGCAAAGCTAAGGGGAAGCCAAAACACAGCACGATAGTTCTACATAACAGCCTTGAAACAGCCAGCCAAAATGAGATCACGCCCGGAGACAAGCTAGAGAAGGGAAGAACAAGGTGAAAGGGTGTCCCGCAAAAGAAAGAGGGAAGAATACCGGAAAGAAAAGGATAAACAAGCTTTAGCAATGGAAAATTTTGAGCCCGAAAAAGAAGAATCGGCTAAGCTAGTCCGGGGAGCACGAGGAGGTCGAACTAACAAAAGGGGACAGCTCGCGCACTGTGAAAAATGGCAAAGACATTAAGCTAGAGGTGAAAGTTAACCTTATCGAGCTGTTAAGAAGAAACATGGACATCTTCGCATTCTCAACAGATGAAATGATGGGAGTATATCAAGCAGTCATGGTTAACAGAATCAACGTAAAAGAGAAAGTGAGACCGGTGAAGCAAAAGAAAAGAAGTTTTTCAGCTGAGAAGAACAAAGTAATACAAGAAGAAATAGACAAGCTATTGGAGGCGAAATTTATTGAGCAATGTGATTACCGAGAATGGCTAGAAAATGTCGTCATGTGAAAAAAGCCAATGGAGAGTGTGCATTAATTTCTCAAATCTTAACAAAGCATGCCCCAAGGACTGCTATCCGCTACCTAATTGACCAACTGGTAGACTCAACCAGTGAACACGCACTGATAAGCTTAATGGATGCCTTCTCAAGGTATAACCAGATCAACCTGCATAAGCCAGATAAGGAAAACTGCATTTATAACTGACAGCGGTGTCTTCTATTACATCGGAATGCCCTCGGGCTGAAGAATGCAAATGTAACTTTTCAGAAAACAATTATGAGCAGAGTGTTCATACATTAGAATGGAAGAATTGTAGAGGTGTATGTTGACGATTCAATCGTTAAAAACCTTATATCAGCTAGACACGTAGAGGAGACATTTTCCACCATAAACAAGGGGTCAGGTCCTACAATATACTGGAATTGAAACAATTCTACACAATTCCTAAAATTTTGGAATTGTACTTGGAAACGCCAAGTACTGGTTCTGGTTTCGGGTACCCGATTATACATGTAAAATTTTCTTAAAAAATGATATTGTACAATACAAATTATAATATTATTTTAGTCAATGTCATTTTTTATCTTTTAGTACTTATATTTTTTTATATGCATTTAGCTATTTTGTTAGGCTTTAGTAATACTTTTTTTTTTGTTTTACTAACTAGATACATTCAACATTTATTTTTTGTATTTTAGCTACATTTATTTTTATTTAATATATGTCGGATAACCGGGTATCCAACCGATTTTGGTTCCAAAAAATTGAGAATTGAAATTGAAACCAATTGCAACTGGTTTGGATTCTAATAGATTATGAATTTATGGGTACCCAAAATTTTTGCTAACTCATATTAAAGATAAGTTGTTTGTTAGATTTATCTTAATAATGTGTACTATTAGAATGGAATGGACGGATGGAGTTGATTAGTGTGTTACTAAAATGTATAGTGTAATAAACTTGATTGCCTTTTGAGATGTATGAAGTTGATGTTGACAATCTTGACATGGTGTTACTAAGGGTAGAGTATTTAAGTTTGTAAGCACTTACATTCATCCTACTTTTAAATAATAATAATAATAATAATAATAATAATAATAATAATAATAATAATAATAATAATAATAATAATAATAATAATAATAATAATAATAAAGATTTCTATTATAATTAATCTAATACTAATAGATTGGAATACAACGGTTTGATTGAATATTAGTCTTATCTTATATAAAAATGACATTAGAATGAAAACATTTGCTTATACATGAGACAGTAATATTCATCTTATCATTGAACACGTATCATATGAGATATAATACATATAAATGGGCAAAATGGAAATAAAGGAAAGCATTAGCTTATAATAATCCGTGAAGCGCTTAGAAATGTTAAGATCACATGGCAAGGAAGATTAAAAAGAACATGCATGATCGTGGCTAATAGACAATGTATCACAATGAGCAAATAATTTTGAGAGAGGTAAGTAATATTAAACAAAATCGAAGTTTCTACATATGACTATGCAAAACTACTAATGATTGATCAATGTGCCCATCTATGTACACTCTGGCTTTATCATTGTCACCTATGATACAAGTATTAACTTATTAAGGACAATTATAATTAATTTTAATAGTGTCCCTCATTGACTAATTACGGCATCATTTATGCTTTTGGGTCATCCTCTCTTTCACGTAATTGCTTATTTATAGATGAAATACTTTTTAAATTATCTTTCTTGAAGAGTACAAACCAACGTACAAGTCAAATAGGCCAACATGTCATATGGTTCGAAAATATAATTAAAAAAATTTGGTTTGGGTTGTAGTTGTACCATTAAATAAATTAATGATCAGGGTTTTTTTTTTTAATAGTATGTAAGTTAAAAATAATCTTTCTAATGGTCCGCAACCTTTAATAGATTAAGCAGGTTCAAAATATTAGTATAGATTATCATTTGAATAGGGGGGAAGGTTAAGCAAGTCCCTTAATTAGGATTGAATCCCTAATATCATTATATCAAGGTCAAAAGATATGTTTCCTTACTACAAGCTAATCAACGCTTATTTAGTTATTAATCATTTAGAATTGGTAGGTGGACTTGGTTCATACTAAATAACATATACGGAATTACGGATTATATACTCGTCATAATAGACTTTCTAACACCTTTTAATTCACTTTTATCTACGGAGTATAAGTTGAGTAGTAGTTCAATTGAAAGCATGTGAGGTTTTTTTTTTCATTTTTTTTCGTGATCACACATAAGTTATTAAGTTGTGATGATATACAAAGACCTTGTTTTGTTACTTATGGGAATTAAATACTCATACAAAGTTGCAAATGGGAAGTTATAATTCTTAAGAAATACTAAAATCATGTTTGGTTGAGATAGAGCGTGTTCGGCACATATTTGTGGAGGTACCTTTTAATTGTGGTAGTAGCTGTTAGCTATGCAAGTAAATGTAAGTTGTCAACAAACTATTAGATGTGAACAAAGTTATCAAAATTGAGATTCTACTTTGAATCTAAAGGGGCTCACAGAATCAAATAGTAGACTCAAAAAATTCTACGGACATGCATAATAAAAAAAAACGTCATATCCAAATTTCATGTAATATAATTAAATTATAATTAAAAAAAAACCTTATTATTAATAGGAAATAGTTGTTTACCCACTAAGCAACCAATAAGTGACAATACATATTTATAAATAACTACGTAGGCATATTTTAAACTAGTAGGGTTTTTGCTAATTAAAAGAAAAATGTAAGGTAGAATCATAAATCGAATCGTATGAACATACATGAATCGTAACATTCTAAGATTTTAATTGGGTTTTAATAACTATAGTTGTGAAGATATAT